TCTAAGGCTCATTCGGCTAGAGAATCACGACACTGCCCACTGGTGAGAACTGTCTGGCCAAACCGAGCACGCTCCCGCGAGTGTTTGTCCAGCTGATAATGGCGGATGAACGTGATTCGGGTCGGCTCCAGATAGCCGCTGAGCAGATCTCCTCAATGGGCAGTGCCACGGCGCATGCCTTCGGCGTCGCCACTGCCCTAATCGAATGAGCCTTTAACCCTGGGATAGTTAACCCTTTGTAAGAGTAACTCATACAAATGGCAGAGACAAGCCACCTAGATATGGTCTGCTTGTTCGCTGAAGACCAGCCTTACCACCGCCATAACAACAGAACAGCTGCTTATCTTTCCTGATAGCAGCCGTCCCGCTTGATATAAGCCTTGAGAGTCTTACGGACATCTAAGACGGGAGCACGCCAAGAGAGGTACCGGACGATGGAGGCTGAGTGAAAGCTGGCAGTTCAATAGGCGCCGCTACATGAAAGGCTTACGAACCTTAGGACGGTAAGAGTCTGGCAACCGAATACTGACTCTGTCTTTGTGAAAGACAGTCAGAGCAGGATCCACTGACATCGCGATGGATATCGCCACCCGCCTACCAGACGCTACCGCCACAAGAAAGGCAGCCTTCCAACTTAACAGCTGGAGGAAAGAGACGACAGATCGTGGAAAGAGAGGACCGACATCCAATCAAGAACGATTGACAAGTCCCACGGGGACTAATCCGCCGACAGTCGGACGGATTCTGTCCACGCCTTCGCTAAAAAGCGCTGCACTAGAGGGTGCTGCCCCAAGAGAGCACCGCCGCAGGGATATGGAAGGCAGAGATTGCCGTGGAGTAGCCCCGATAGTAGACGCTAAGCCGGGCTTCTAACCGAGTGTAAGAACTCCAGTACTTCAATTACAGTTGAAGAAAAGGGATCAAGAATCCTCTGTCTGCCGACACCAGCAGCCAGATAACAGGCCCATCTATCCTCATACTGAACGCTTGTCGAATCCTCCGCCGGCCAGAATTGTGTCTGCAACTGGTGCAGGAATTCGCTCGCTGCGGAGGCGATTCCGACAGAGGCCAGGCCACCCACTGAATCCTGGATTCGGTGCGGCGCCCATTCTGGGATAGTAGGTCCGGGTCGAAAGGGTAATAGTACAGGAGGCAGAGCCAGAAACCTGAGTAGTACCGAAACCAGCTTTGAGCCGACCAAAGGTGCAAGGAGCACAAGAAGTCGAGCTGGTTGGGTGGCAAGCTGCGAGAGGACTTTGGGAATCAGGGTAGTGGCGGAACGCCCACAGAACCCTGTCCGGTCCAATCGAGCTGGAAAGCGCCCTGGGCGATGGCTCTCGGATCCGTATCCGAGAGCAAAACACCGAATCTGGTTCGCCCCCAGAGGCAAACAGATCCACCTGGAACGATCCGAACAACTGGGAGATAGCCCCGAATATCTCCCGATGGAGCATCCACTGCAAGGGCCAGGATAATGACGAGAGTGCATCTGCTCAACGCTGTCCGCCCCCAGGAGATAAACAGGCATTACCCGTATGTCGAACCGACGCATTCAGAGCAGAAACTGCCACGCCTGCAGAAGAGACGGGAGACTGTACCGCCTCTGCTTCAGGATATAGGTCATCGCCGCCTGGTTGTCTCGAGACGGACCACACGGCCTTAAACCTGCTACCGAAGTCGTTCGAACACCAACCTGACTGCTCTCAATTCTAGCACATTGATGTGCAGCTGCTCGCTTCTGTGACCACAGGCCTGAGACTGACAGGGCGCCCAGCACTTCACCCTGTGAGTGAAGCGCCTGTCTGAATTGAGAGATTTGGCGATGGGATGTCCAAAGGAGCCCCTGGATAAATTCCCTGCCAGCGCCCAGCCACCGTGAATGAGGAATTAGCCACCCTGGAGTGTGGAGAATCAACTCAGAACCCCGGTGTGGACCCACATTCGAAGCTAGAGCCTGCTGAATGGGTCGCGATCCTCAACCGCCAAACGATGTCCACCGCTGCCGCCATGTTGCCTAGCAACTGGAGCCAAGTCCGAGCTGAGGCCCTGGGGGACTCGAGAAATTGTAACACAACTCTCTGGACTTTGGTGACGCGGTCCGGAGACAGGGAGACTATCCCTCCCACTGTCTCGAATCTCGCTCCCAAGAACACCAGATCCTGGGTGGGAACCAGTTCTGACTTCTTGAGGTTGATAATCCAACCCAACTTGGTGAGTATACTCATCACAGAAAGTGTCGCAACTCGACTCAAGTGAGTGGCAAGCGCACGAAGGAGCCAATCGTCTAGGTACGGGTGACAGCACCTGCCCTGTGACCTGGCTACCTGCGCTGGAATTAGCATGAGTTTGGTGAACACCCGTGGCGCTGTGGAGATGCCAAAGGGGAGTACCCGAAACTGATAGCACCTCCCGTCAAAGGAAAACCGTAGGTATTTCCTGAACTCGGGGTGCATAGGGACATGGAAGTACGCGTCTTTGAGGTCGATTGACGTGAGCCAATCTCCCTTCTCCACAGACGAAATCACCGAACGCAGTGTTTCCATCTTGCAGGACGGTACCTTCTAACATGTCGCTCAGACCTTTGAGGTTTAGAATAGGTCTGAACCTCCATCTTTTGGGTGACAAGGAAATAAGTTGAGTAATAACCCACCATTTCTTTGTCCCACAGGAACTATCTCTATGGCTGCCTTGTCCAGCAACGACTGACCTCGCACGGAGCACCTCCGCCTTCTCTAGGGCAGCCGCACTGGAGTGCAACGGATCCCGAGAAGGGGTGGGTTTCGCTTCCACCGTGGCATGTGGCCGCCCCTGAGCGTGGACAGGACCCAGGGATTGAAGTGACTTTTTCCCATTCCGGCAGGAAGAGGGAAAGCTCCACCACCCACAGGGATATGTGGCATGAGACATTGAATACCGGACTTCGCAGTAATTCACTGCTTGGTCTGGTACCAACAAGGGCCCGGAGGAATTATAGCTAGGAAGCCGGGCTGACTTCCCCTTCCTCTGAAGAGGCTGGTGGAGCTGCCTCTGCTCCTTGCCCCCTGCCTCTGCCCTTACCCTCCACACTGCAAGGGCTGAGCCCATTTAACAGATTCCTTCGCCGCAGCAGAAGGATATGGAGGTGAGAGCCGGGGCCGCGCGACGAGACATGTGAGGCTGTTCCAGCAAGGGCTTAGAGTCCTTGAAGGTTGAGACAGCCTCCGCCTCCTCCCGAACTACTGTAGCTGCCCCGGGAACAGGGTAGAACCCATCCGAATGGCAGCGCCAGCAGAGCCTGTTTCCGCGGCAGGCAAATACCTCGCCACGAAAGCCACAGGCTTACGGAGGCCCATCACCGCATTATCATTTGGCAACTACCTGATAGAATCGCGACCAGATGTGACTGTACCTCCGCTAATTGCTTAGCCAAGGTGGAGGGAGACGAATCTTCTCCACCCCACCCACATCCAGTAGTTGCCTCTGCAACACCGTAGATGTAGGCGGAAATGGATCGTGAACCTTAAGGCACTGAACCGCATTGCGGTATTGCTCTTCAAAGGAACGATAGGGCGGATATAAGCTGCTGTGGCGCTAGTCGTGGAACGGGCGAAGCCGACGACCTTGCTTGGCCGGCCATAGAATTACTCGACGAACCCCCAGGGCTGGATGGATGCATAAACACAATCGCCAACCACTGGGGATTATAAAGGCAAGCCTCCCATCCATGAGGTACCCGACGGTCCAGTTCTGGCAAATCAACCTTGACCTGGTACCACAGAGGAGGGGTTGATAACCTCAGACAAAACTGAGGGTGGTATACGCAGCCTTGTGTCCCCCACCTTGGTGGGAGCAAAAGCCTCCCCTGGGAGGCTTAAACTCCTGAGGGTCGGGTGCCCAGAACTGACCACTACCTGGGGCAGGACAGAGGCAAGACGCCCCGTGCATCCTGCCTCTGTGGGACGACTGAGTGAAACCAAAGGCGTACCCAACTCCCCCCGACCCTCATCCTCCTCCATAGCCTCCTCGAATCGATCCTCAATGAGTGAGGTCTCTGTATCTACCAGAGAGAGCTCTGAGGGATCATCCGAGGGGTCTACAGAGAGGGACAAAGGCTCGAGCAGAGCAAGCAAAATGATCCTCACCAATGGCCCGGCAAAGCCGGCGCAAGCGGGGGGACCAAATGCGATGTAGCAGAAACTACAGGGACTGAGCCTGCAAAACTGGCCCGAACTACTGACCCAGTCCCAAAGCCAAGGCTTGGGCTGGTAGTAGTTACTACAGCGGAGGGGTGGCCAGCAACCGAGACGAGACTCGGAGCCGACACCCCCCCGACAGAAACCCCCACACCAGAGCCTAAGCTAAGGTTGGGAGTACTGCCCGCCATTGATCCGGCACCCCCCTACCTGGCCGGACGCCAATCTCCTGACGGAGACCAGCCATCGCGTCAGACACGAGGGAGTGGACCGAATCCATTTGTCTCTGCAATAAATCAGATATTAATTCCAATGTTAACGGGTTAGCAACCGGGACATGCAGGGGAAGGTGTCTGTGATGTGGAGGGATGGAAGGTGAAGGCTTCCTTTCAGAATCAACAGACTTTAAAAAGTTCAATATCACAAGAGTTACTAAAAGAAAACAATTGCCAGTGCTCACAAAATGTCCTCATGGCAAAATGTCAGTATTTCAATTTGTTCTCATCATAACCGAATACACGAGTGAATCGTAAAAGCATGAATAAATACAGGACTATCCTACAAAGGACAATATATCCCCACCATAGTAAAACATTTGCATGTCATAACATTGTTTCCTTATACTCTGGTGTTAACAAAATATAGCACAAAATATTAATATCACAACCCAATACACAAAATATCCCTATTTAATATGCTAACACATTACTGAGCTCCCAAACACAATTTCTGCCACTATTATTTTCAAAAATACCAGCATTCATAATTATACAAACAAAATTTTCACAGATTTGTTTCACAATTCTGACAATGTGGTGGTTTCCTTACTCGGCTGGAGTTGGCGGGGGAGACATAGAAGAAGGTAATGAGAGCCTCTTTTCCTGGGTGGCCGAGAGAAACTTTCTTGTATGTGGATCCATAGTCCTGGGACCTGGAGTACAAACACTTGTGAAAAGTATGTTACACAGATGTATTTAAAACTTTGATACCTAATAATACAGTTTTGCCTTTAAGGTCTGGGACTTTGCTTCCAATGCTCCATCCCGATAGGGTCTTCAAAGTCACGATTAATTTTACATTTGGGGGCCGATTCTCTGTCAAATGGCCTTGTACCAGTCCTACATATAAATATGACTTTTGGATCATATCCTATACTTACATTCATAGAGTTCGATAGCAAGCACCAACCTCCAAGTGTTTGTAACATTAGCAGTTCTCAGTGTAACAATACGATATGGTCACATTTTCATCCATGATCTTAGCTATTTGATTCATTTCCGTGATTCACTTGCAATGATGGTTGGTGTTATATCGCTGTGAGACACTGGGAGAGGAACCAGAGCTCTATTATCTGTCTATCAAGGCATGACAGCTTGTGCTGCATATTGTGGAGGCAAGATCAAAACAATGTTGTTCAGGGATGTTCACCATGCTGGTGAGACAATGAACATGCATTTTAAGAATGAATTTGGTGTTCCGCATAAGACTAACCACAAATCTTTCATATGTAATAGTTAAAAGAGTACACAAAAACAAAGTTTATTTGTTCTTTAACATAACAGTGAGAGAGTGAGCAAGCAAGCCAGCTTAGTTTTACACTGCATTTAGCAATATTCCTATAATATGATGTTGGGGACACCAGAAATGGGCTTCACACATTGTACCCACGTGGGGAATTGAACCTGAGTCTTCAGAGTGATGAGTGAACGCTTCAACCATGAGGCTACCCCACTGACCCCATAATAATGAGAGAAATAACAACATATGGAGAAATATAGAAACAGGACATGAAAAAATAATGACATTAAATCTCAACTTACTCCCAGTGATATCAAACTTACTTACCGTATATGAACGTCTATAAGACGACCCCATGGATAAGACGACCCCCAAACTTGACCCTTAAAATCAGTGTCAAAATGGTATGTTTCGTGCATAAGTCGATCCCCCGCGATGGGGTCCTAATCGCGGCAAACACAGACCACAGACAACTGGCAGTTACCAATAATTATAACTTTGGTCCACATTATTCAAAGAATTCACAGTCATTTATATTGTGTCTACTCACGGATCGAAACGAAGTGCAGTTGACAGAAAATGCATAATATATTTTGCTTCTCTAAATATCATATTTATTGTAGCAACAAACTGGCTTGCTTATTTTACCCCATTCAACAATCACGAACTGATTACCGCCTCGTTTTCCATTGACTGCTAGTTTACAGTAACATCGGTAAAAATGTGTGAATTTAAATGGCTTCCGTATTTTACCCCATTCCATGTGCGACAACTTCTGCTTACCACGTTCATGAGGGTCCGTATAACCTTAGTGTTGATTATATATATTTTACATAAAAACTGTAATTAAAATTACACAATGCTAGGATATATTCAAAAAGGTAATTCAAAATACAAAATAATACCTACTGCCAAAGTTTACTGCTGGCTACCTCTCCTGATAGCGCTCTCTGTCGAGTGAGAATGAAAATTACCTGAAAAAGAAAGTTGAATAATGTGGAGCATGTTCAGCTGTTTGAGCATGACTTGTGATGAAAAAATACAAGTGGTTGTCCGATTAATTGAAATAATCAAAGACCAAGCAATCGATCATGTTTTCTCATAATCAAACACAAACAATTCTGGAACACTTGTTTTCATTAACAATATTTTTCACATGGTTGGTTTTGTCTGTTACATTTTGTAAGCACTACAAGCTCGTTTCAAGTCATGATTTAATTTATCTTAAAGATTCCAAGAAATTTATGTTCCTAACATACTAGTCATCCTTTAAAGATGTGAAATTTTACACAAAAAAACCAGAAGAACTACATTTTTTCCCCTTATTTTAATGTGCATTAACAAATTTCATAAATGACGCTAACCAATTATTTTCGATGATTGATCGGTAGTAATGAACCAATCATCAATTATGAGATTTTAACCAATTCCCAACACTAGTAAATACTGAATGACGCAAGTCCAAAACATGTCAAAGGTTAAAACATGATGACAACAAATATAATGATGATTAATAGTACCAGGATCAAGGGCTAGTATCAGCATGACTAGAATGGTAGTAAGTTTCAGTATGTTTTTCTCACAAATAAAACAAAATCATAGTGGCAAGGTCAAGTAGCTCACCTGGATCAAGGATACACAGCCTACAGTTTACACATATTAAAATAACCCATGAAGATCCGGGTTAGAATTGATCCTCTGCAGACTTGATTATTTACAGACCGCCGCAATATAGCTGGAATATTGCTGTATGCAGCGTTAAACAACAAACCAACCAATCAACCATATTAAAAAAATCAATAAAGGCACATGTTTAACATTTGTACAACAGAAGTGACTTTCAACATGGTAAATACTTGTCTTCCAATTATATAGACTTACACAAATACTGATAACATAAAGCTAAGGCTTAAATCTGACATAAACATACCAAAATATCATGAAAGAGAAAAAATAGACTTGCTCAATCCTGAACTTCTCCTTCCCAAATGTCATGAATATTTCAAACCTTTCCATCTCAGATGGTATGCCTATCTCAAAAAGAGGGAGGCACAATATTCTTCGCTGTACCCACAAAATATATTTTGCTAAGTGTTTGGCTGTTTCTTTCAGAGCAGTTACGTGCATCATTTCATCCCTCAGTCCACATGATCAATGATTCATTCCAGGCTCTAAAGGTTGTATCACAACATACAGCTCTCTACACTGTTACTTCACAGGACCCTCATATTACATACATACATACTAACATTTGTATAGCGCTGATATCCAGCTCAGCTGCTCAAAGGCGCTTAGTTTGTTCCCTCAATCACTGGATGTCAATCTCAACGGCACGTCGTATTATCAATCTCAACTCCCTGGGGATCATACAACTCTTGCAGCCACTAGGAGCGCCGAGATAGTGTGGCTTTCCCATCCTTACGAGGTACCCATTCACAGCTCGGTGGACTGGGACACATAGTCACATACTGTGTCCAAGTTTACTGCACGTTGCTGTACCCGCAACTAGGTGTTTGCACATATTCATGGGGCCACCATCTGGTCATATACCAACGGATTCGAGGGTTCTTTTAAGTGCACAGGGTTGTGTACTGTACACTAGTTGACTCAAAGGTTTTTACACCCGGTCACAGGTGGGCTCGATCCCGTCACCTCTAGCTCGCTGGATCACTAGCCTGACGCTTTAGCCAGTTCGCCCACCGCGCCCCTGCAAGGACCCTTAAGACTAATAATTGGGGGTCCCCTGGACACCCATGCTTGTGAGTCGAGGTAAAACCCTGGTTAAAGCATACTGATAATGAGTTTACATTCAAACATTCAGAGCTACAGTTAACTTTTTAAATTGTACACACCTCACTCAAACCCAATTGGGTATTTTCCCATTTTCCATTAATTGTAAGTACGCAAGCTGAGATTTTTTGACATTTTTGTGTGTACGCATGTAAGGTCAAATATATTGACAGAGAGTATTAACAAAAATTCTTGTACATAATAGACTAGAGTTTTCACATAAATATCTGCGTAATTTACACAGATACGTAGCTTATCTGTACCTCTAAACATTTTTAACCATAAAAAACAACCTGTCTTTGTTGTTTGATATATCTGGTCAAGCAGTATATGATAAGTTTCAACAATTCAACAAAATAATCTGTCCTTGTGAAATGTAACCACGTTTTCACAATTGACAGGCGTGGGTTTATCAAAAGGTCGATTCTAAGAAAAGACAAATCCAAGGTAAACAGAGTGCAAGCTGTCAAGGTCGGCTGAACCATATCTAATGGAATGCAAGGACTCTCATTACAAGACCTATGGTGATGGTATAATACAGTCAAAGGATATGACTGAAAGAAAAAAGGCTTTAGAAGGTCTTAAAGGATTTTGATCAATGGCGTTTCCATTTCTGAACTCCATTTTTTTTTTAAATGTACAGTATCATTGATCATATGACATGTAAATTGGTGCTCAGTTGTCATTATGTGCTGTAAAGATGCCACAGGAGAAAGGTGAGAGTAATAAATTTGGTTTTGCTCTCTATCTGTATGTCAAAGCACATGTTATCTTGTACCTGAAGGGTATATTCTTTCTGGTTTGAGATAGAAGGAGTTCAACATTGTCTAATGCTTGTCGTCAAAATCCGGTCAAAGTTCAGTTTTAATAACTTTTATGTGGTGACAATTTCAAAATATCTGGAAAATCCATGTATCACCTCCCCTTAAAAACATTTCTATGAAAGTTTTGAGTGGCAATGATTATGACATGGTATGAAGTGAGTGAGTGAGTGAGTCTGGTTTAACATGTGTTTAAAACCACTTTCAGCAATATCTCAGTGGGGACACCAGAAATGGACTTCGCACATTGTACCCATTTGGGGTCATCGGCGTGATGAACGAACGCTATGATAACCACTGGGCTACCCCACCGCCCCATCATGGTATGAAACAAACTGATAACCATATTGTTTGAAGTGTGTGAATAACCACTGGCCTGCTAGCCCGTGGCTAGTAAAAATCAAGTCGGGCCAGTAAATCTTCACAGTCACAGGCCTGACTGGCTAGTGAATTGTCATGGTGTATTTTTGTAAATGCATCAATTTCTCAAACTTGTTAAGTTAATACATTTTTAAATCATGCAAGATTATGGCCTGAAAAAAATGTTCATCATATTATTAACAGCTTAATAATGTTAATGATGAAACCCGTGTCTACATTCAAATTAGTGAATGATTTTGTGGGCTGGTAACTTTCAGGCATAGCTAGCCTGACTGGCTAGCAAAATTTGGAAACTATTTTGCACACTGAATGTTTGATATGAAAAAACAGTGATAAAGAAAACGTGACATGACACCCCTTTTAAGCACTTTGGCAATATAAAATTAGGATTTTGGAGAGGGGAAAGGTGTGAAAGTTGTTCAAGATGGCCAAAAGGAAAAGTGAAAACACTGCGTGAGCAAACCATGACACATGCATTCACTATTTTAGTATTTTAATCAGGTTAGCCACAGTCATGATTAATGTATCGCCAGATTATATGGTTTCAGAGTTCACATGTTATTTGCGGCATCATTTATTCTCACTATAATATAAAATGGAGTTGCACCACACAGACATTGTAAATACTTAGATGAAGGCTTGTGATTAAGATTTGTTGTATTTGATTATGTTCATAAGTTAATGACATGTTTTACAATTGTTCAGGTGATGATCAAGAAAACCATAGATGTTCTTCAGCATCAAAAAACCTGTAACAAAAGGAAATATCTATGTCTCTCTTCCCCTTCACCATGTTCACGTTAGATGCGGTCAATCCCTGACTATCTTTAAATCTGGCCTTAAGACCCATCTGTTTAATAATCACTGACAATTTTTCATCTTTATATTTGTATGCGCTTCAAAGCATGCCCTGTATGGCGTGGAGTTCAGCACCATATAAGTGTTCTTATTGTCATTACGTATTTAGTGACAAACTTAGGGATTTTAAAAATGGGAATCATGGTGATTCACAATATTTATTTTTGGGAGTCATTTTCAATATTTGAGAGTCATGAAAATTTAATATTTCTTTGTGTTTATCATTCTCAGTATGTAACTGTGTATGCCACACGACCAAATGAAACTACAGCATTGTTCAATTCAAACAGCCAGGATTATGGTCTCCTCTGAGTTCTCTGGAACAATCTGACAGCTCTGTAAAAGTCAAACTATCATCGAACAATATCATTTTTTGCTTATCAAATCGATTTTATTGAACTGAATTGTGAGGGCCACCTATAAAACTTGCGTCAAGCTTGACTCGTATGATAGTATTTTGAGAGTCGTTAACAAAATTGTTGCGTCAAATACACAGGAATCACGCGTCATGTAAAACCCTGCAAGTATCAAAGTCATATGGCTTATGCTAAATCTGGGTTCAACAAAATATTTGCTTTAAAATCATTTTTTCTCAGACCAGTAGACATGATAATTTTAAACCATGGCATTATCATAGAAGTGTTACATCAGGAATTTCCTTCACATCGCAAACAATTAACTGGTAACCATGGTAACTGGACATTTTCTATTGTGTGTCAGTTTTATAATACATGACCTCTATAAAGATACCGCTCAGCATAACTGAAGTTGTCTCCATCATCATGACCATCAACATGGTTACTTTCAGCTGCTGTAATGCCAACAGAGCTAAGTGCAGAAATTATGAGAAAACTTTCAACATTTTTTTTACTACAGTAAAAATTACATGATATACTGTTATCATGTTCGTGTCATGGGAAATATGCAAGTGTAATTCTTATTACTGAAAGTATTATCTACTATACACTAGCCGGTCAAGTCATGCTATCAAAACATGTTTGAAATATAATCCTAGTAAACCTTGAGAGCCAACTATTTCCTTCTTAAATGTCAACTTCCTCATTAGCACTGGTTCATAGTCATCATTTACATGGATTATTCAGTTACCTAACTGTGGCACGGATATTTTGCACTGAGAACATGTCTACAGCAGCTTATATGGATGGGTTGGTCAGTTTCAATGATACAAGTTACTCGGCAGTATGGGACAGAGCACATAATATTGATCACTGGCTTGTCGGATTCAGAATCATGATCATTGTTATAAATATCACTTTCAGCATGTTGAGATAGCAGTTAGTACTGAAACATAAATTCAGTTCACACAGAATATATATATATAATGATCGATTTGTCACACTACTTACAAACAAAATATGACCTTAAAATATATTTTCGTAACCCGATTATGGCAGGCCGGTTTCATATTTATTAAGAAATAGTGATATCTTCAATTGTTTTACAAATATCTTGAACTAAATTAAAGATATCTTGAACTGAACTGAAGATGTCGCGAATAGAGACAATTATAGATATCTCCAATAAAATTCATGATATCGCAAAATCAATTCAGGATATGTTGAAGCATATTAATGATATCTTGAAAAGAATTGCTGATATCTTGAATTGAATTAGAAGTATCTTGAAATGAATTAGAGATGTCATGAAATGAATTAATGATATCTCAAACTGAGATAATGTATTGAGAAATTACTGATATCGTATTTTGTTTTAAAGATATCGTTAACTGAATTGGAGATATCTTGAAATGAATTAAAGATATCTTGAATAGAGATATTCAAATACAATTTCAAGATATCTTCAAACACTTCCGGCTGCATTCCCGTAAATGCTTCCGGTTCTGTAAAGTACTTTGAGTATAAAATGGCGGGCGGTGCTGACGATTAGGTTCTTGGTCGTATTCATTCCACAATGGGTGACATACAGCGTTTGTTGACTGAAAGTGTCAATGTTTCGTCAGCTAAACAACTCCTCCAGACTGCTTTATCCAATTTACATGGTTTATCGCCTTCAAGTGGTAATGCGAAGTACTTGTCCGTCAGACAGCCAACCTAGCAGCTGCTCACTTTGGGCGAGAAATTAGAAGTTGAGGATCCCCTTTCAAATGCAACAAGTATGACCAACAATCAAAGAATTCGTGTCCAG